TTATGATCTTAGATTTGACAACACACTAGCAATTTCCCATTAAAAAACATAATTTCCCTTTTGCTCTCTAACTAAACTGTCAGTTATGAGTGAAGTTTGACCAGATGAGTTACCCACTGCTTTTTGTTTATTTCTTGTCTTTTGCCATCAGAGATCTCAAGGTGTACACTATATTACTCTAAATAGAAAGTGTGTCAGAGCCTGGGATTGAACCTGGGCCTTCCGCAGTGAGAGACAATGTTTCTTCTCACTGAGCTACCTGGGATGCAGAACTATACTCTGCCTGATCTATTGGATAATTCTGCCTTGTGTCTTGTTTTCTCTTGAACCTTGAACTCCTTGCTCCTCCCATGAACTTCCTATAAAATTCATGTCCATGCACTTCTTCCTTGCCAGATTATTGTGCCTTCCAGCCAATATCCCGCTCATCCTTACTACTGCCGTCTATATCGTTTGTGACCGACTTTTGGCTAGTGACTGACTTAGCTTTTGTCTTATCCCTAAACTGTTTGATCCGCTCTTGGTTTCCAGCTTGCCCTTTCCCTGGTGAGGTGATCCTGAGACTGCGACCTGGTATTCACATGCAGCCAAATCAATCTCCACCATTAGGAGCTCTGGGGAAGACCAGTGGATACTTAGACACCGTATCTCAGGTGAGCCTGCAGCATTCCCAGGATGACACGCTGGTGTACCAATCCTGCTGGTTTCAGGTAAGCCTTACAACTGCTATAGTAACTGGTCTCTGAACCTGACCCAGACCGTGACAAAGTGCTTGGCCCTGTGCCATGTGATTATTGTGGCCAATCACAATGATTACAGTCGGAAACAGTAAACAATGACTGTTATTCGTGATGCCAATGTTTACTACTGTGACTTCTGTGATAGGCCACAGTGATCTCATGGTACAGGGCCAATCACAGCAGCCCTGTACCATGTGATAAATAGCCATGGCCAATCAGAGAAAATACCGTAATAAACAACAGCATCATGACTGATGGCAAATGCCATTAAAATTAGATTGTTTATACAGTGATCATCACTGTATAAGCAATCATAGTGTTAAAAAAAAAATCTTGATCCTCCTTCCCCAGAGAAGTACAGTATGGAGATACTGCTGGTTTTTGTTTTTAACCAATTATTTAAGAAAAATAAAAATTATTTAAAAAAAAAAATAATATATATATATATATATATATATATATATATACACTGTCACCAGAGCAAGCACAGTGTCACTATGGTGACATTGTACTGCTGTGCCAGTGATATTGTACAGTGGCTGGCTGCTCTGATGTCACTGTACAGTCAGGTCCATAAATATTGGGACATCGACACAATTCTAATATTTTTGGCTCTATACACCACCACAATGGATTTTAATTGAAACAAACAAGATGTGCTTTAACTGCAGACTGTCAGCTTTAATTTGAGGGTATTTACATCGAAATCAGGTCAACAGTGTAGGAATTACAACAGTTTGCATATTTGCCTCCCACTTGTTAAGGGACCAAAAGTAATGGGACAGAATAATAATCATAAATTAAACTTTCACTTTTTAATACTTGGTTGCAAATCCTTTGCAGTCAAATACAGCCTGAAGTCTGGAACGCATAGACATCACCAGGCACTGGGTTTCATCCCTGATGATGCTCTGCCAGGCCTCTACTGCAACTATCTTCAGTTCCTGCTTGTTCTTGGGGCATTTTCCCTTCAGTTTTGTCTTCAGCAAGTTAGTACTGTCCGTGATACTTTTTTTATTTGCACTAACATACAATTTTGAGGACAAGCTTTCGGGTATGTCCCCTTCTTCAAAGTCCAAGCAGTACTGTACAAATCACAAAGTTTCAGCAGAATGTTAGAAGAGATGAAGGAAAAAAAAAAAAAAAGAGAGGCTAGAGATAAGATACAGCCAAAGCGAGGGGGGAGGGGGGGGTACTACACTCACACAGAGGGAGTCAAGCTTCAGCTAATAGTCATGTTGGATAATGAGAGAGGAATCCCATGTCCAAATTAAGGCCGTTATCTCTTGTGTCAAATAGAATTATTATTCTTAGTTCAAAAGTTTTTCTTTCCTGGATGGATTTGAAATTTTCTTTAAGAACTAAAATATTGAGGTCTCCCATTGTGTGGCCTGGTTGTGCAAAATGGTGTCCTACAGGTGTGCAGAGGTCATCTTCTTTATGTTCCTTGATGGTATGTCTGTGCAAATTCATCCTTGTTTGCAACTTCTGTCCTGTTTCACCAAGATAAGATCCTTTGCTGCATTTTCTGCACTGGATAAGGTACACAACATTACTGGAGGTGCAGCTGTATGAGCCGGAGATATTGAAGATCCCCTTTTGAGTGTCTGACACTTTTTGATGGATTGATTTGGTTGCACAGTTTGCAGCGTTTCTTATTGCAGGGTGTGCTTCCATTATTTGTGACATCTTGATCAGAAGGAAGTTTCCTACTGATTAGTTTATTTCTGAGGTTGGGGGGTTGTCTGAAGGCCAGTATTGGGGGTTGCTGGAATATTTCTTTCAGAGTTCCATCCTCTGTTATGATGAGTTGTAAATCTTTGATTATTTTTTCTTATCCCTTCTAGTGCTGGGTTGTATGTGGTAACTAGAGGTACACGGTTGTTTGTTTTTTTTGTACTGAAGTAGATTTTCTCTTCGGGTTCTCAAGGCTGTGTTTTTGCTGGTGTTGATAGTTTTGTCCTTGTAACCTTTCTTATGGAAGGCGTCTGCTAGTATCCCGAGATCTTTATCTCTGTCTCTTGGGTCAGAACATATTCGGTGGTATCTAATGGCCTGACTGTGTATGATGGCACGTTTCATGTGTTGGGAGTGGAAGCTGGAACTGTGGAGGTAGTTGCATCTGTCAGTGGGTTTCCTGTATATTGAGGTGTGAAGCGTATCATCCCTGATGTATACTGTGGTGTCTAGGAAGTTGACGTGCGTGTTTGAGTATTCCATTTTTAGTTTGATTGATGGATGAAAAGTGTTGATCAATGAGTAAAATTGTTTTAGGTTTTCTTCATCTTCTGGCCATATGATGAAAATATCATCAATATAGCGATAGTATCTGTATGATTTTTGTTCCATGCTGTTCAGGAATTTTTCCTCTAGGTCAGCCATAAATAAATTGGCATATATTGGGGTGCCATTTTTTACTACCCATACATTGAAGATAGATGTCTTTATTGAAGGCAAAGTAGTTGTGTGTGAGTATGAATTCAATGAGCTGTGTAACATCCTCAGCAATGGATTTGTGGTTTGGTGAGGATGATAAGGATCTGTGACATGCAGCTAATCCATCCTTGTGAGGGATATTACTATACAGGGATACTACATCCATAGTCACTAGAAGTGTATTAGATGGCAATTGCTGTATGTTGTTAATCTTGTTCAGAAAGTCAGTTGTGTCTTGCAGGAAACTAGCAGTATTCATGATTAACGGTTATAATATTTTTTCTACAAAGCCTGAGATTTGTTCGGTGAGTGTATTCATACCTGTTATGATGGGTCTGCCTGGATTTCCTGGCTTATGGACTTTGAGCAGCATGTAGAAGTCCCCGATTTCTGGATGATCCGGAATCGCATTTATAAGTTCTGAATGTAGGTAAATGCATGCTCAATCGGATTCAGGTCAGGTGATTGACTTGGCCAATGCATAACATTCCACTTCTTTCCCTTAAAAAACTCTTTGGTTGCTTTTGCAGAATGCTTTGGGTCATTGTCCATCTGCACTGTGAAGCGGCATCCAATGATTTTTGAAGCATTTGGCTGAATATGAGCAGATAATATTGCCCGAAACACTTCAGAATTCATCCTGCTGCTTTTGTCAGCAGTCACATCATCAATAAATACAAGAGAACCAGTTCCATTGGCAGCCATACATGCCCACGCCATGACACTACCACCACCATGCTTCACTGATGAGGTGGTATGCTTAGGATCATTAGCAGTTCCTTTCCTTCTCCATACTCTTCTCTTCCCATCACTCTGGTACAAGTTGATCTTGGTCCCATCTGTCCATAGGATGTTGTTCCAGAACTGTGAAGGCTTTTTTAGATGTCGTTTGGCAAACTCTAATCTGGCCTTCCTGTTTTTGAGGCTCACCAATGGTTTACATCTTGTGGTGAACCCTCTGTATTCACTCTGGTGAAGTCTTCTCTTGATTTTTGACTTTGACACACATACACCTACCTCCTGGAGGGTGTTCTTGATCTGGCCAACTGTTGCGAAGGGTGTTTTCTTCACCAGGGAAAGAATTCTTCGGTCATCCACCACAGTTGTTTTCCGTGGTCTTCTGGGTCTTTTGGTGTTGCTGAGCTCACCGGTGCGTTCCTTCTTTTTAGGAATGTTCCAAACAGTTGTTTTGGCCACACCTAATGTTTTTTCTATCTCTCTGATGGGTTTGTTTTGTTTTTTCAGCCTAATGATGGCTTGCTTCACTGATAGTGACAGCTCTTTGGATCTCATTTTGAGAGTTGACCGCAACAGATTCCAAATGCAAATAGCACACTTGAAATGAACTCTGGACCTTTTATCTGCTCATTGTAATTGGGATAATGAGGGAATAACACACACCTGGCCATGGAACAGCTGAGAAGCCAATTGTCCCATTACTTTTGGTCCCTTAAGTGGGAGGGCACATATGCAAACTGTTGTAATTCCTACACCGTTCACCTGATTTGGATGTAAATACCCTCAAATTAAAGCTGACAGTCTGCAGTTAAAGCACATCTTGTTCGTTTCATTTCAAATCCATTGTGGTCATGTATAGAGCCAAAAATGTTAGAATTGTGTCGATGTCCCAATATTTATGGACCTGACTGTATGTCAGTGCTGCCAGCCATTGTCCCTGATCACCTCTACACCACTCAGTGTCCCTAATCACTGCTGGCCACTCACTGTCCCTAATCCAGGTACATTGTTCCTGATCAGTGCCACACCAGTCATATTATCCCCAATCACTGCCACACCAGTCATATTGTCGCTAATTAAACACCACACCAGTTACAGTGTCCCTGATCACCATCACACCAATCCCAATGTTCCTAATCATTGCCACACCAGTCCCAGTGTCCCTGATAACTGCCACACCAGTCATAGTATCACAATAAGTTCACATGTGAAAACTCTGAAAATCTATCTGTTTTTGGATTGCTCTTCTGAGAGCATTTGACAGGCAGTGAGAAGTTTTTGTAAGTCCTCCTCACGACCTGCTTTATTTCCTTGGACCACACATAAGCACCCCCATTCACTTGAATAGAGGGTGATTAACAGGTGCACAGGGGGTATACTGCCTGCCAGGGCTGTGAAACAAAGCATTGCAGCCGCAGCATGTGTACACTCCCAGTTGCTGCCTCTGCAGCTAAAAGGGGTTGAGTGGGGATAAAACCATGGCTCAGACTGTGAGATTTTACTGCCCCCTAATCTCACAGTGAACAAACCCTAATTGTGCAGCCAGTCATAGTGCCTCTGATCACTACCACACCAGCCACAGTGGCACCAGATCAGTGTAACTACAATCCGTGTTCCTGATTCCCACCACACAAGACCAGTAGAGCAAGCAACAGTTTTTCCTCATTACCACCACACCAGACCAGTGTATGTCAGCAGCAATATTCCTCATCACTGCCAGACCAGGTGTAATGTCACCACACCAGAGTAAGCCAGCAACATGTCCCTGATTGTCACCAAACCAGTGTAAGTCATCAGCAGTGTTCCTGACCACCACCACACCAGTGCAATATTGCCTCTGCCTGCCATCTGTACTGCCACTGGCCTGTTTACCACATTTCTGCCTGCTGCCTGGATCGATCCTTTGCCTGTTTTCTGACAATATCTCTGCCTGCCACCTCAACTGACCCATCTGCACATCTGACTAACTACGTTCCTGTGGGATACCAGTCCCTGCCATTTGTTGCAGACAACTGCACTCCTGGAACCACAGGAACTCTTTTGTTCTTCGTTTTTTCAACCTCCTGTACTTACTGGCCACATGCCATTCCTGGGAGCAGCCACATACAATTAGGCTAAGCTTGCTTGGCATATAGGAACTGATACTGATATAGATGATGCTACACTAAGCTATATTCCCTGACCACTCGTACAGAGGTGGCCATTACAGTCCAGTGGTTTTGACACAATTTGTTGATTTATGTGATGCACAAAATACAATGTTTGGTACATAAATAGTTTAAACAATGTAAACGTCTCACACGTGGTATCCTCATACTTGGGAGGAGGAGGAGTAGAATGTAGTTTAATTCTACGTTTGCCCGTGCTGTGTGTGAGAAATATTTTAGTTGACAACTTTGTGTCACAAAAATTTTTCATTTTCTTTCTGCATTTTACAAAAAGTTGTGACAAAAATGAAGTCCTCAAAAGACTCCCCATGCCTCTTAAAAAATACCTTGGTGTGTTTACTATCCATAAATGTGGTCATTGTGCAGTTGTTTCTACTGTCCTGGTGCTCCAGAGCCTTCAAAAATTGACAGGTATTCAGGTAATTAGATGCATAACATATCCCCCTAGAAAGCCAAAAAGTGCTCCTTTGGAATTTTTGCCCCTTCTATGTTGATATGCTGTAAAAAAAAAAAAAAAAAAGTCTCATGCATGTGAGATCGCCATACTTGGGAAAAGTAGCAAAATATGTTTTGGGGTGTGATTGTAATAGGCTTTTGCAATGTGTGAAAATTAACTTACTACAATGAAACAATGTGAAAAAACACAATTGTGCTTATATACAGTATATCTTCATTTTCTAAAAACTTGTGACAAGAAAAAACTTCAAAAACCTCACAATTTACCTTACTAAATACCCTGTACTGTATACTTTCCAAAAAGGAGTCATTTGGGGGTTATTTGTACTCTCCTGGCATTATAGGGCCTTAAGAAATGAGATAAGCAGTCAGTACATCAGAACTGATCAATTTTCAAATATACAGTATATACCATAGTTTGTACACTCTAAAACTTTCACGCAAGCTAAATAATATACACTGATGTGGATTATTTTTACCAAAGAAAAGTAGCAGAAAACATTTTGGCCTAAATTTATGAAGAAAGAGTATTTATTTGCAAAATTGTATGACAAAAATGTTTTTTTTTTTCTAAACTTTTAGTCTTTTTTTTTGCCTATATAGGAACAAACACCACCAAAAGAAAGCCCCATCTGTCTCAAAAAATTATTTGAAGTTCATTTGGGTACAGTTTCAAATGTGACAGAACTGAAAACTGACAGATGGTCTGGACTGGAAGGAGAAGAAATAGTCTGGATTTGAAGAAGTTAAACTGTCATTTCTTTTTCTTTTTTTGCAGAACTACAAACTGCTATCAGATTTAGGGAAGACTGCATTAGGCATATAGGAATAATTGTAGTGCTGGCCAGGATGACCAGAAACTGTGAGGGCAATACATATACACTGTTAAAACTGCTAAACAAACTCTTCTTACTGCATAGTCTGCATATGGAAATCTGTGACTAGCCACAACAATTCTGATGTCTCTAGTTGGGTAGGATAAACATAGACTAAGACAGTCAATCCAGTACAAACCAATAGTGATGGGCCAAACACCCCCGTTTGGTTCGCAGTCAAGCATTCTAACATAATGAAAGTTCAAACGCGAACTTCGAACAAGAACAATTTACTAAGCGGTTTCTTACCGCATCTGAGTATGCTACTAAATTATCGCATAAGTTATATTATTAAGTCATGTGGTATTTTAGTAGTGAAAACATTCTTTAACCGCCTCCCGCCCGCCATATAGTAAAATGATGGACGCTAGGCGGTTCTCTCGTTCTGGGAGGATGTCATATGACGGGAGCTCCGGGAGCACGCAACGCGGTGATCGGCGGTGCGCTGTGTCCATCGGACACAGCAGATCACCGATCAACGGAAAGAGCCGAATATGTCAGCTCGGTCATGTGATCAGTCCAATCACAGCTGATCACATGTAAATAGGGAAATGCTGGTTATCGGCATTTCTCTCCTCACGAGCTGTCACGCTGGCAGCTCGTGAGGAGAGGAGAACCAGTAATCTGCATTCCCCAGAGGGGACATGTACACTGATCATCAGGGCACTGATGATCAGTGTGCCCTGATGATCTGTGTAGCTTTAGCAGCACCACCTGTCAGTGTCCATCAGTGCCAGCTCTCAGTGCTCATCCATGCCACCTGCCAGTGCCACATTTCAGTGCCCATCAGTGCCACATATCAGTTCCACATCAATGCCACATATCAAGGCCCATCTGAGCTGCCTTTCAGTGTCACCCATCAGTGCCACCTATCAGTGCTGCCAATCAGTGCCACCTGTCAGTGCTGCCTAACAGTGTGCATCAGTGCCGCCTATTAGTGCCCGTGAGTGCTGCTTATCAGTGCCGCCTAACAGTGCCAGTCAGTACCGCCTATCAGTGTCATATATGAGTGCTGTCTTTCAGTGCATCAGTGATGCCTGTCAATGCCCATCAGTGCCACCTACCAGTGCCTCCTCATCAGTGCCCATCAGTGCAGTCTATCAGTGCCCATCAGTGCAGCCTCATTAGTGCACATCAGTGAAGGAGAAAAAATGACTTATTTACAAAAATTTTATAACAAAAACTAAGAAAAAACTTTTTTTTTTTCAAAATTTTCAGTGGTTTTTGGTTTGTTTAAGAAAAAATAAAAAACCCAGAGGTGATTAAATACCACAAAAATAAAACTCTGTCACAAAAAAAGATAACAATTTCAAATGGGTACAGTGTTGCATGACCCCGCGCAATTGTCATTCAAAATGCAACAGCGCTGAAAGCTGGTGTCAGGAATGGACTTGCCAATAGTGGTGGGACTCACCTGCCTTGTGGGCTGCAGTACCAGGGCTGGCCAGAGGATGCTCTCAACAACCAGAGGCCCACTTCGGCAATTAGCCATCACCTGGGGCTGATTGCAGGTGGTGTATTTAAGGGATGGCCAGACCTGCAGTCTGTGCCTTGTTGTACTGTTTGCTTGGCCCTGGTTTCCTGATCCTGTTTTTCTGCTGTCCTGACGCTGCCTGAACTCTGCCTGTACTGACCTCGGCTAGTCCTGACCACTCTCCCGCCTGCTCTTGGTACTCCGTTTGCCCGTTTGCTACCGACCCGGCCTGCCTGACTACTCTTGTATCGTATGTTTGTTATCTGTTGGAGGTTTGGTTCAGTTTTTTTGCACTGTGTTATGTTTAGTTTTGCACTGCGTTTGTATCGTTAGTCTTAATAAATTATATTATTTACTATATCTGAAGCCTACGTTTCCCTGTGTCAGTCCACACACTTCTGGTCACACCCGCATCCTTGACAGCTGGAAATTGGCCTGGGCAGGAAGGGGGTATAAGTGCCCTGTAGGCTAGTGGTTAATGTTTCAGCTGTAAACAGGATTCTCTACTGATGGCTGAATGTAAAAAGAATTGCCAGTATTGCCTGGCAATTAAATTTTTTTTTTTTTTTTTTAAACGGTGTGGGGTCTCCCTACTCCTTATTAAGCCCTTCGGGTCTGGTATGGACTTTAAGGGGAATCCCCCACACCAATTTTTTTTCTTTAAATGGTGTGGGGTTCCCCCTAAAATCCATACCAGACCCTTATCCAAGCATGCAGCCCGGCAGGTCAGGAAAGGGTGAGTGCCCCCCCTCTCCTGAACCATACCAGGCCACATGCCCTCAACATGGGGGGGGGGGGGGGTGCTTTGAGGCACGGGGGCTCCCCCCTCAAAGCTCCTTGTCCCCATGTTACGCCCCTTGAGGGTTAGGGACTGATGTGAATGTACAATATATATGTAAAGCGCTGAGTAAATTGATGGCGCTATATAAATACCTGATATATAGAGAGAGAGAGAGAGATATGTTGATCTGGGTCTGCAGGTGGGGTGTTTATCAGAATCTGGAAACCCCCTTTAATCCCCCCCCCCACATGTGAATGAGTATGGGATACATGATCCAGCTACTCATTTACAAAAAAAAAAAAAAGAGTACTGTAAAAATTACAGTAGACAGTCTTTGACAAGTCCTTTTTTTGAAAGACTAAAATTAAAAAAATCCCCTGAAATAGATCCAACATCAATCACGATACCCGTCACCACCGCCGACCCAGAAAAAGGAAAAAGCCGCTCTCAATGCTGGCTCCCACCGTCTGACAGCTGCGCCAGGATGACAGTTCTTAAATACTGTGACCCCCTTGTGACCCACCCCCTTGTAACATCATCATGCGCTGTAATTGGCCAAAGCATTGGACCTGACCTATGGTCAGGTGCATTGCTTTCGCCAATCACAATGCACTGTCAGGGCCCACTGAATGCCCAAACCATTTGTGTGTTCGGCGAACAGCCGATGTTTCAGTCGAACTTATGTTCGACTCGAAACATCAGGCCCAACACTACAAACCTGATACCACTGACTGATACAGTCAGTCCAGCTTAATCTCCAGCACAAATCAGAAACGTCTCTTCTTGTACATCTGATGTCAGCTTTTCTTGACTAGAAAAGCCAGTATCAACAATTATCTCTGTAATCATTTATAATACAGTGATGGGTACACATTTTCTTCACATGCATACAGATTTTCTGTTTAAAATGTCTCAGCCCCAACAAATATCCAGCAAGTTTATATAGCTGTGAAGATCAGGTGTCTATAAACTTTTGACTACACAGTATATAAGAATTGACAACATATCCAACAAATCTACATATGCCCAAAACAAAAATATCAGTTATAATTTTTAGGTGTACTCAGGGGCGGACTGACAAATCATGGGGCCCCCCGGGCAATAGGGGATCATGGGGCCCCTGTGTCCTTGCCCAAACTCAAAAAAAACTATGAAAAAGGTACCAGGGGCATCTCATGGGGCCCCCTACTGACCCAGGGCCCTCGGGCAGTGCCCAGTTTCCAAATGGTCAGTCCACCCTTGGGTGTACTGATACTTTTTATTTTAGAACACTGACGGTTATTTTTTTTATGATAATATACCTTGAATAACTCAGGGGCTTGTTTTTTCATTTTCTCCATTTTCCATTCATTTTCACAAGGATTGAGAGATGAGGGTGGTGCAGTACAGGAACACTTGCAGTCTGATCCTGAACTCACTGTCTCCACTGTATAATAATCTTCCACTTGCATTTTTCCCTCTTTAATACGGGCGCAAGCCTCTTTGCTCAAGGGTCTCATGATGCATTTGCAGCGACAATCTGAGCCTTCTGAAATCATCCGCACATGGTCTGTATCTCCAAAGATCTGAAACATAGATTTAATAAAAATCAGCAAGCAGGGACAATTTATATGAAAACTGTAAAAAATATAAAGCCATAACTACTCAAACAGGTATCATCAGATCAAGGGATGGTGGAATTCTGTGCCACAGCTCTCCTTCCTGCCTGTCTGTTGTCCCTAAAATCCTGAAATGACAGTAACTGCAGTAATAAATATCCTAACTGCGATGTCATTAACCCCTTCACGCCTAAGGGTAAAACAAATCGTAAAGCCTAAGAAAAATTTTACAACTTTGACATTGTTAGTAAAACCGTACATACTGTATCTTCACAACTACTTTGTACATCCAGGTGGATTACACATTGTTTTTTTTCAGGACAAATTGGGCTTTCATTTGGTGGTAAATGGTAATGGATATCTCCTGATTTTTTTTTATTATCAAAGGAAAACTGGCCCAAAATAGTAAAAAAAAAAATAATTTGTTTAAAATGTAGCTGTGTGTTTCTTGTTACTACCATAAACCTACCACCAAAGAATGACCCAAAATAAATTTTCCAGCGCTTGATGATTGCAGCGATACCATATATGTGTATGTTATTTGTTGTTTGTACCTGTACTACAGCCGAGAAACAATAGTGCGCATTTTGTTTTTTTTACCCAAAACACACTAACACTGACACTAACTGACACCGATACCAGTTTAAAAAAAAAAGTTTAAAAATCCTGACCTTTGACCCTGACCTTTGATCCTGACCCAAACACTAACCCTGTCACTTAACTAGATCAAACCTTGATCAAGGTATTTTTTCTTTATTTGTTCTTTTATTTTGTAATATTTATTTATTTATATATATTTTTTTTTTTTACAAAAATTAGTTTTTTTTCTCTATGCAAGGAGAGAGAGAGATGAAAAAAACAAGGAGGGTGGGCTTCAGTGACTGATCATTGTGATAGCCAATCAGCAACTATCACAGTGATCATGTGACCCGATCGTTAGAACGGGACCCGGGGCTCTAAGTGACCCTCCCGGCCTTTGTGCTGGGAGTGCGCTGTGCGGCCCGATCGCAGCACAAAGACAGGTATGCAAATATGCGGTCCCACAGAAAAAAGCCCAGTTCTGTGAGGCCGCATACTTGTGTGATATCAGCACCAAGGGGTTAAACTTACTTTGCATAAATAAAGCTCAACCAGACTGTACAAGTTTAATGATCCACTTTCACAAAATGTGAAGATTCATTATTCTATGAGGTTGACACATACAGTAATGATAACATTCAACATTTATATTCTTGATACCTTCGCGTATATTTTTATATATATATATATATATATATATATATATATATATACACACACACACACACACATTTTTAATATCATCCGCACACTCACATGTAGACCAAGCTGTAAAGAAAAAAGGTGACTGTTGCAGGCAACCCCTGACTATGTTGTAGTTTGTGTAAGCCCCTGTCACTGTCATTTTGCTGCCACTGTTGCTCTGCATATAATTATGAAAAATACACTATTTCTTTCTTGTTCAATGGGGACACAAGACTTAGAGGCAATTGGGTTACACTACTGTCTTCAAGATTTGGACACTGACAAACAAAAAAACAACACAGAAAAAAACAGCCTGGTATAACCCCTACAACTCTTGGAATGCTTCAGTTTTTTCAGTTAGATGGTCGTTGGCGTTAGTAAGGCTGAATGAAGACACCAGTCCATCCAATTCAACCTGAGTGTGTGTCCATGTGTGTATTTACGTCACTATCATTTTTCATCTCCCTGTACATTGCTTTCGCATAGAAACACATCTAAAACTTTTTCAATCTATCTACACTTCCCTACTGAGAAAAGTTTTACCATTTTACCTAGCCGTGTTTTTGTTTTTTCAAGATTTTTTTTCTTAAGTTAAGAATTTATCTACACTGAGCTTGCTTAAACTGGTCTCTCATCCAGCTATAGCTTTGGATGTCATACCCAGACCCTGCTGGACTGCATGATTGTGTTGCCTGCCTGGAATGTGACCTTTGGGCACTGGCCTCTGCTTGTGGCACTTTCCAAACCTCTGTGTAATGTGTTAGTTAGCCGCAGAGCTCTTTCCAGCTCCAAAGCCCTGGCACAGTCTTTAGTGTTATCCATTTCATGAAGACTCATTCACAAGTAGGCCATGTGGTCCAAGCACTGGGAGGTACTTCATTAATAAATAATAAGAACTGCTGGCACCATTATTATTCCTTTTTTCTATTGGTTTCCATTG